GGGAAAAAGAGAGGGAGAGAGAAATGCTGTGTGTTGAAAGGTTCTACCTAGGCACATTTGTGTCTTATTTATGGCACTGCATCTCCCATTTTAAACTTCCATGAAAAAACCATTGTCACTGACGGTTGTTAGATTGTGCTTCAATGTGGACTGGATAATAATGTCCGGAAGCAGATTCAAAGTTTGCTTTTAAGTAACAGGAATTTGGTGGCGGTGGGAGGAGCCAGGTTTTGAGTTGTGATCTTCCTCTTCAGACATCAGGGGAAGAATGAAGCGGTTGAGTCACTGGGCTCGGTTCCTGACTCTGTGCGGTGCTCAGATACTAGTTATGGGCACCACATAAGAACCAAAGTGGAAAGAGATGAGCTCTAGGTTCATTTCTGTTTTTGCTCCTAGCACTAATGGGAGCCACCAATGCTGTTCAGGATGTTCTTACTAGTTATGTTTATCTTAGTGTGTATCAGTTAGATCATGGGAGATAACATTACCATCAGCTAGGATGATCTTAGATTCTAAACAGATTAGCCAGTGAAGCCTGTATCGCTTTGGTATCCCTCCAGGAAACGTGCCCTGAAATTCCCTGTGCTGCTCTCTGCCTTAAATCTCTGGGCCAAGCCTGTTGATATGCAAAATTTTAATACGATTAGCTAGTACATGTCTGTCTTGCTTGCCTGCCACATGCTGTAGGACACCAGTTGCCTGAAGACTGAGAGAACTGGTGGTGAATAGTATGTCCAATTTTTATGACCGATTGTACCCTAAGGAATGTTCCTTTGGCCTCTTATCTAATCTCTGATTGCAAATAGAATTGCATTCCTGGGGCTGAACACAATTGTTTCTTAACACAAAATGATAAGTAAACAATTAAGTAATCAGCTGTCAGGTAGAGAAATGGTGCTGTGCACACACCTTCACACAGACTGCATATCTCTATTGGTGTATCTGTACTTCTGGTGAAATCACTCTATGCTGATGGAAACACTCTCCCATCAGCTTAATAGCTCCGCCTCATACAAGATCTGGGAGCTATGTCGGTAGGAGAACGGCATTTAGGTCATTGTAATGTGTGTCAGTCAGGGGTTATGGATTATTCATGCCCCTGAGCATGTAAGTCATGCTGAAGGAAAGTGTAGTATAGATATAGACAGAGAGGTTAAGGCCCTGACCCTATAAGATTTAAGCACGTATTTCACTTACCCACTCTATTAATGACACTACTCAGATTGCTGCCTGTTGATCTGGTAGGTCCTATAGATGTGTCCTTAGATATGTGCTTAACTTTAGGCATTTGATCCCCACTGGATCCATCACTGTCTATCATGCCTAGTATAGATACAATAAATCAACCACCAAGCACTTCTGTCAACTCCTGTACTCCACCTAAACGAGAAGTGTAGTCTGAGTCGATGGGACAGCGTCTGCCATCAACTCACTGCAGTAAACACACTGCAGTAAGTAGAACCAAATAAATCTAATTCAGCTACATGATTCACGCAGCTGAAATTGCATAACTTAGATGGCGCACGGTAGTGTAGATCAAGTCTTAGTCTTTGTAGAGATGAAGATCTAAGTGGGCAAAGAGCGCAAAAAGAGTAGTAGAGCAGAGGGATAGATTCCCAGGAGTCCTGGCAAGCTCTAATTCTGATATGCATACATGCAAACCAACTGTTAGCTTGCAATGATTTATTGTACTCTTGAACTAGCAGAGATAGTCAATATCAAACCTCCTGAGCTGTTCCGGGGCATGTCTATACCGGGGAGTTATTTTGAAATAACTCCCTTTATTTTGAAATAACAAGGTAAGCGTCCACACTCCCAAGCCTGTTATTTCGAAAAAATTAGCTTGTTATTTTGAAATAATAACTCCTGCTTATGAAAAGGAATAAGCTTATTTTAAAATAGGTATTTCAGAAAAAAAACATATTTTGAAATAACCTAGTAGTGTAGGCAAAGCCTCTGTTACCACAGGCGTGCAAGCAGCTGTAAATAGAAAGTTCAAAGCACCTGGGAATTTGCACATTGAAGGGATTTGATTTTCATTTACACTAGAGCTTCTTTACACCAATCTGGATGTGCAAAGGGGCCATAAAGTAGAGGTGCAGAACACAAAAGGGAGATAGATTTAAAAGGATTTATCCTACCAAATAAGCAAATGTGGAGAACCTCAAATAGATCAATAAAACATTAGGATTTAAGATGCATTTTTGTAATCTCTTGCTGTAGACCTCTGTCCCTTTGTATTACTCCTGATGTTTTGTTCTGTGATAATGGGATCTTTGCAAATAGGAAAAGACATCTCTTTACTAAAAGCGAAGAATGAAACGAAACAGGTTGTGGGCCATTCTGTTGGACTGGGATAACTAAGATACTCTCTTGACCCAGTGATGCTTTCCACTTGCATTAGAATGTCTGTGATGGGCATTGTGCTAAGGGGGGAGGACTTATGTGTCCTTCACTTCCTCCACTTTGGGGTTTGTCCTGTAACAGGGTCTTTTTTCCAGCATGCCTTTCTTGGGGTCCTTTTAATTTGGCCGTGTTGACTAGCTAAGGCCCCGTCCATTTTGCAACATTTCTTATTGCTCCGGAGATGGCTGTCACACAAGTTTGTGTGTGTGTGTGTGTGTGTGTGTGTGTGTGTGTGTGTGTGAATAGACTAAATACCAGAAGGCAGCATTTAATATGGATATGGCTGTTCTCAGTAGGGCTATTGAGAAAATAACATCGCTGCCTTGTAAACGTTTTAAGGGTTCTAGAATTTTTCCTTGTTCGCCTGCCAGCCAGGTGTGAGAGGCATGCATGGAAAGCATGCACTTTCCCCTCACTCCTGGTAGTCCGGGGAGCGGCATGAAAAGCCCGCCTGTCCTGGAGCACACGGCTGCAGCCTGCCTACCTCCCAAAATGGTGCCCTTGATCCCCGCTACATCTGACATTCTCACCCTTCACCTATGAAATGTTTCCTGCAAAATGTTTCATGTGAGAGTAGAACATGTTGTCTTTTTGACCAGTGGTACTTCCTGGGGTTTTGTAGGTTTAGTAAAACTTTTGTGCACTGCAAATGGCTCTGTCTAGCAGCTCATCCCCTCCTACCAATGGGCCTGCGGTAGTCACTAAGGGTATGTCTACACTACCACCCTAGTTTGAACTAGGGTGGTAATGTTGTCAACCGGAGTTGCAAATGAAGCCCGGGATTTGAATTTCCCGGGCTTCATTTGCATCTCGCCGGGCGCCGCCATTTTTAAATGTCCACTAGTGCGGACTCCGTGCTGTGCGGCTACACGCGGCACGGACTAGGTAGTTCGGACTAGGCTTCCTATTCCGAACTACCGTTACTCCTCGTGGAATGAGGAGTAACGGTAGTTCGCCAGAGTGATGTAAAGGGGGTTTAGTGTAAATGAAAATCAAATCCCTTAAGTGTGAAAAATACTATGCAAGGTAAGTGGATAAACCACAGTATATTTGCTGCATTTTGTTGTTCATCCCTGACCCTTTGGCAGGGCACAGACCCGGGAATGACAGTTATGTATTCGGGTATGTCTATACTACCACCCTAGTTCGAACTAGGGTGGTAGTATAGACATACCCGAATACATAACTGTCATTCCCGGGTCTGTGCCCTGCCAAAGGGTCAGGGATGAACAACAAAATGCAGCAAATATACTGTGGTTTATCCACTTACCTTGCATAGTATTTTTCACACTTAAGGGATTTGATTTTCATTTACACTAAACCCCCTTTACATCACTCTGGCAGTGCAAAGAGGCCTTGAAGCAGGGCTGAATGATTTCATGCTCACTGTCACAAGGCTAACTGTACTGTTTCCTCTCCTTCCAGGGTCCCCTCCCAGATGGCCAGTCAAGTCTTAGGAGCCCTGTTGTCCCTCATCTCTGAGTAGGGACCCTGGCCCCACGGCTTTCTGCCCAGCCATACACTCTGATATCACCAACAGGCCAGTCTACTGGCAAGTGCCTCTGTGTTGCTATCTCTGGACCGGGTAAGGCCAACAGTGAGAAGTGACCCCAGCAGTCTCTTAGCAGTTCGCATAGTCCTAAGAAAAGAGCATTACAAGAGCAATGTATTTAAAGCACTAGTTTTCCAAGCACACTAAACAGGCCAGAAAACACATCAGTCTGGGGGTTTAGTGCAGCTTTTCCCAAATGGGGGGTTTCCTGTGGCCATGACAACCAGAGATGGGGAAGGGTCCAAAGCAGCACCCCCTCCTGGCAGCACCCAGGGGCTGTAGCCCTTCCCCATCTTCAGCTGTGGGACTCCAGGGGTTGGCTCCTGCCCTCTTCCCACTCCCCACACTCCTGCTTGATTCAGCTAAGGGGCTCCAGGGGTGGGTTTCAGCCCAGAGCAGTGGGGCATCAGCAGGGTCAGACTTACTGGACTCCAAGGGCAAGAGGCAAGAAGAGGGATGCAAGTGTGTGGAAGGGAGCTCAGGGCAATGGGGATAGCAAGGGCAGGGCCCCAGGGAGGGCAGTGGGGAGCAGTGGGGATGAGGATGGGTTGGCAGTGGGGGCCAAGGGAAAATACAACTATTTGTTATTTTTATTATTGAATATGCTAAAAACCCCAACATAAATCACCATGATTGGGATATGTATCTGTGCATGTTTGTTTTTCCTATAGTTAAGTATTTTAGGGAAAATTATCAGAGTAGCAACCAGCAAGAGTTGGTGGCTGCATTCTGAGGCCATCCAAAATTTTGGTGTGAGAACCCCTGCTCTAGTAAGCCCAAGTCCTTCCAGCCCTTGAGTTTTGGTGGGAGAACCCCTGCTCTAGTAAGCCCAAGTCCTTCCAGCCCTTGAGCAGGATAACAGCCCTTTGGATAAAAGCTCACGTCCATTTGCTGAATCAGAATGAAGACCATATATGAATTGAAATTTTCCTTTAAATACCAAAAGCCCTTTATTTATCCGTCTGTGTCTGGAAAATGCCACTGGAATCAGTATATGGAGGCTACTCCAGGAAGCTGTGCTTCTCTGGAATCCTTTACTCTTTCATATATTAGCATAAATCACTCCCCACTGTTTCTACTTGTGCCTGTTGCTGTGCAGAGTTGTGCAGGCCAGCCCTCCCTGTGTGCAAAGACCACCGGCAGCTGCATCCCTTTCCTCACACTGGCGATCTGTCTGGCCAGGACCCTCTTCCATCCCGACCCCGCTGGGCTCACCCTCTCCCAGGGCAGCGCAGCCCGGCACCAGAGGGGACCCCCACCTAAAAGCCTCCCCCAGCAGCACGTGGCGCTTTAATGCTCCGTGCGCTGCTTGCAGGGCAGGGGCAGAGCGGAGGAGGTTTGGCGCGCTCCCCTTGCCCCCAGGCTAATTAGGTCTGCTTGCTGGATCTGGCCCACGGAGGCCATTTTGCCCACCCCTGACTTAAACCCACCTGCTATAGGGGAATGGGGGGAAATATAGCCTCAGGTGTGTCTAAACTACACCCCTCTGCCAACAGAGAGATGTAGACTAGGCACATCGCTATTGCAAATGAAGTGGGGATTTAAATATCCCGCACTTCATTTGAATAGAAATGGCCGCCACTTTTTGCCAATGTGGCACTTTGCCGGCAAAGGGCGGCAGTCTAGACGGGGATCGGTCGACAAGGAAAGCCTTTTCTGACCAATCCCTTATGCCTTGTACAACGTGGTTTACTGGATCAGTCGGAAAAGGCTTTCCTTGTCGACCGATCCCCATCTAGACTGCTGCTTTTTGCCGGCAAAGTGCCTTGTTGGCAAAAAGCGCCAGCCATTTCTATTCAAATGAAGCGCGGGATATTTAAATCTCTGCTTCATTTGCAATAGCGATGCGCCTAATCTACATCCCTCTGTCAGCAGAGGGGTGTAGTTTAGACACACCTCTCCTGGTGAGGCTGTTGCGCTTTGCATAGGACACATGAATAGTCCTATATTCTCTGTAGCAAAGAGATAATGTCCCTATAACTCGGAGACAGGAAGGAGAAGGTTCAAATTTCCTCTGCAAAGAGAGGATCTGAGCCTTGGTCTTCCTCACCCCAGATGAGGGCCCCAACCGAGGAACTAAAGGTTATGAACAAGGGGACATAGCCATGCACATTTTGCGCATCTAGCCCTTTAAACATGCCCAGAAATAAGGCATTTCTGAATGAATAACATGTTTCAGTCGAGCCAAAATGAACTTCTCTGGTTCACTCTTTTTTTTTCGGAATTGTTGGGTTGGATCGGATTGGATTTGACCCAAACCAAGGTGACTTTTGTTTTTCCGTGACTTTCCAGAACTTTCAGTGAGCTGAAAAATCAGTTATTTGACCAGCTCTCATGGGCAATACTGAAATCTAACTCTGAAACTTCTGCTTCTCAGCTCTTTTGTTCTCATTCCCTCCCCAGTCAGATCCATTGTCCCGTTCCATAGCTGAGCTCAAAAGAGTGAATTTAAGATGTTCTTAAAAACTACAGTTCCTTGTAAAGTTCAATCTCTATTTTTTTCTCCTGGCAGATGTTTTCTATTCATACCCCTCCACTGCCCTGTTCCTTGTTCTGTCTGCTAGCCCACAAATATTCGGAACATAACCTCTATTGGTACACATCAGGGCTATTTAAAAAATGCTCTCTCAACATGTCGCTCAGACCCCATTTTGAAACCAAACTTAAAATTTCTCATATCTGCACAATCCAGCCCCCGTTAGTCCAGGAAGCCAAAAGCTGACACCATTGCTGAAATAACTCCCCACTTCCCATTGCCAGAGCTGTTTTGTTTTTCTTCAAATTAAAAAACAACAACAACAAATGGTCCGGTAGCACTTTATAGACTGACAAAACATGTAGATGGTATCATGAGCTTTCATGGGCACAGCCCACTTCTTCAGATGACCCCACGAAAGCTCATGATACCATCTATATGTTTTGTGAGTCTATAAAGGGCTATCAGACTGTTTGTGGGTTTTTTTTTGTTTTTCTTTGTGAGAAGTTGTGGGGGGAGTGACGTTAGTGGTTTTCCCCCCTGGATTTTGAATGTTTTTCCACTGCCATGTAAACAATTATCTAGAAAGATGTGGCAGCGAGTTCTCCTAGGAAAGGTGAAGAATTGAATGTCTTCAGACCTAGTATAAATAAATGAGTTTCCTATGAAGATTTGAGCTATCAGATTTACATAATGAACATTTTATGCCATGTTATAAGCACCTGGTTTACAAATTCACTGAGCATTTCAACATGATTATCAGCCATTATAGGAGAAACTTAAACATCCAGAAGAGAATATTTTGTGAAGCTATATAAGTAGGATTTTTTAATTGTGTTTTTAACAGATTTTCATGAAACATGTCTTCCTTCATTAAGGGTTCTCTCTACGGACCAAAGTCTAATTGTCTCAGGATTTATATTCAACTGTATCTCAGGCAGTATGAGACGCAGTTTGACTTCATAGATAGGGTATCTGATTGGCTATCATATGTGACTTCTGTGCCTGGCTCTGTCCCTTGCCTCTGTTTCCTCTTCCACTCATTGTCTATTTATACTAGGAATGGTCAACCAGGAATGGTGGATGGGCCATATGAGTGGCCCTCCTCCTCAGTGGACCACAGCAGCCCATGGCTCCCTCTCTCCCCCATGCATCTCTCGAACCCCAGGGCTCTGGAGCTCTGCACGTACCCACCACCCCAGCACTTTTGGAGGGCGTGAATCACCTGATTTGTGCTCTGTCTCCACTTCTCTTCCACCCTTCCAGGCCAGAGCTGGAACTCTGTGAATCAGCTGATTGCAGTGTTCCAGCTCTGGGAGGGAGCGGGAGAAGCAGGGACAGAGCACGAATAAGGAGACTTGTGGCTCCCGCGAAAGTTCTGGGAGGGAGGGGGAGAAGAAGGTAAGTGTTGGCTCCGATATCCTAATGCGTGGGGGAGGAGGCAGCCAGTGGGTCTGTGGGCCACAGGTGGAGCCCCAGTCAGCCGCATGCGGGCTGCAGGTTGCCCACGACTGATTGACACTGAAGGCTATTCAGTACAGAGATGGGCTCTTATAGCATATAACACAAAAGGGTTTTGATCTTATCTTTTGCCATTAGGCACTATATAAGGAGAGATGTTCAGAGGCAGAAATGGGAGGTAGGTGCCTTTACTCCAATTAATTTTCAGTGTGGCCTGGGTTCCTTACTATCCTCTGGACTCCTGAAAATCTCTTCAATCCAAGGCTGCGTGTACACTGCAGAGTTTTTAGGCAAAAACTCTCGGAACGTCCACACTGCAAGCGCGTTTTTGCGCGAGAAAAAGTACAGTAGATCGTCAGAAGACAGGGCAGTTTGCACAAGAATTATTCCTCTTTCTATGGGGAATAAGCCTTTTTGCGCAAGAGCTCTTGCACAAAAAGGCGTATGTGGGAGGACAACAGCTGCTCTGATGGCCATTCTGTGAATGACCATCAGAGCTTTCTTGTGCAAAAGTACATGGCAGTGTGGATGAGCTCTTCTGCAAGAACTTTTTGCAGAAGATTTCTTCCCCACAAAGTTCTTGTTCAAGAAGCCTGCAGAGTAGACGTAGCCCCCGGGTGAAAGTAACTTAAATTCCTTAAAGTTACTGTCTTATCACAACCCCCCCTTGTGCTCAGGGGGCTTGGAATGCAGGAGTCAGAGCAGGGGGTTGGGAGATGTGGGGATTCAGGGCAGGAGCTTTTGGGGTGTGAGGTAGCTCAGGGCTTGGGGTGTGGCCAGGATGATGTCCAGCTCCTGGATCCTTGGGGTGACAGGGATCCTGCTGCCTGCGCACTGGGGCAACACTTACCTTCTTCTCTGTCCAGCTGCCAGATTCCTGGGGCAGCGGGGACTGAGGTGCCCAGCAACGGGGCTGGGGCCTGTGTGCTGGCAACATCCAGAGCCCCACCCCCATCTGGCCAGGCTTTTACTGATGTGCCGTAGCAGAGCATGCTGGCTTACTTCCACCATAGCCAATAATACCCTATTGAGTCACCCAATCCAAATGTCAGGTTTTATTAAATACAAGGTAGTGGTCTATTCCAGAAGGGGCCAATTAATTTGCATGTGACCCGAGTCCCAGCACCGAAACTACATAAACATCCTCTTTTTATAGTCTCTGCACATAACATGCTGCACATTTCAATGTTGTCTTTCTCTGCTCCTTATGCTTCACTCAGTAAATCAATAACTGCTACAGAGATGCATTCCATTATCTCTGCAGTTCCGTGGTGTGGCTTGTGATATATAGTGTTTGCT